TTTCCTAACGGAGTGGAAAGACCTTAAAAAGTGTGGGAATCAACTTAGATATATTAATACACATGTTGACCTACATTTCATTGAACAATAACTTACACAAGCACAAGATACTAATTTAATACTTTCAAAATTCTTATCAACTGATTCAATTGATGTACAAATACTTTTTCAAATTAATTCATAAATAGTAAATCATCATAAATTTTGATTTAGAAAGGAACTATATTCAATTGTATATCTAAAATAAAGTCACTATTCGACCAATCTTTTCTTAATTTAAGGGCAAATAACATGTCAAAAGTTTGCAGTTGATGATTAAAATGGTGTAGAAAGTTTCTGCAAGTCATAAAAACATATAATTAGTTTCATGATATGTCTTCAACTTAGTATTCTGCACCATCTCCAAAACCAGAGTGATCGCATAGATCCAGCATGGCTGAATCAAAAATGCATGTCTATCATCTCACTAATTTTTCACATGCTCCATGATTTTGTGTTGATTATTTATTAAGGCAAGGAGCAGTTAACTTCAGCAATAAAACCTGAAAGTTAATTAGCAAGGAAAGTTTTCACTGAATGAAATATTTGTTGCCAATTATACATTATGGATTTGTTACAAAAGTAAAACAAGAGTGCACAAGCTGAAATGTCTAGCCTGTTTTACTTATCATTGAATTTAGGTTGAAATTCTGTAATATGAAGGTTTTACTACAAGTATCACATAAAAAACTTAACATTGACCAATGAACCATGCAAATGAGGTCAAGGTCATATGAACTTTGTCAGACAGACATGTACACCTTACAATCATTCCATTCACCAAATATAGTTGACTTATTGCTTATAGCATCTGATAAACTAACAAAATTACGAAAAATTTATCATTGATCAATGAACAATGAAAATGAAGTCAAGGTCATATGAACTCTGTCAGACAGACATGTAACCTAACAATAGTTCCATACACTGAATATAATTGACCTATCGCTTATAATATCTACAAAATAAACCAAACCACAAAAACTATTCATTGTCCAATGAACCATGAAATTGAGGTCAAGGTCAGATGAAACCTGTCAGTCGAACATGTACCCCTTACAATCATTCCATACACCAAATATAATTGACCTATTACTTACAGTATCTGAGATACAGACTTGACCACATAACTTTAACCTTGATCACTGATCTATGGAATAAGGTTGAGATCAGGTGAACCCTACCTGACAGACATGTAGACGTTGAAAGGAACCTTTATACCAAATATAGATATCCTATTACTCATAATAAGTGAGTATTTCACTTAACAAAAAAACTGTAATTTTTTTCAAGCAGTCACTGAACCATGAAAATGAGGTCAAGGACAATGGACATATATGACGGACCGAAACTAGGTAACATATGGTATCTGCATACAAGGTGTTGAGCATCCAGGTCTTCTACCTTCTGAAATATAAAGCTTTAAATAAATAGTATGCCGTCTCCAGATTGTAATTAATACCTTTCTTCGCAGGCGAGACAAAAATCGTGCATAGAGGACTTAGTTTAGTATATATACATACATTGGTTCAATAATTTCCTTAACATTACAATTTCAAGAAACCAATTTCATATGACTAAGTTTGTATTACCGTTTTTAATTTTCATCATGGCCTTATGTAGAAATCCCTTAAATTCAAAATTTTGGTATTTATCTGGATTAAGTTAAAAAATTCTCCAATTTTCATGTTATATAATAAAGAATCCTTCATTTAATAAATAATAAGCGGTTAAAATGATAAACAGTTTTCATACATTCATCCTCTTACAGACCAACTAAGTCAACAGGCCAAATTAAAAAATGCGCTCCGCCTAGGGCAGCTGGATATGACCGCAGAGGTCAAACTCTGAACAGTTGGGGCAAGTATAGACACAATATTCAAGCTTGATACATCTCTGAATTTGGATAGTGATTAAATATTTGACACATTATAGATTTCTGACACAGAATAAATGTGGTCAGATAACTTAAAAATTTAAAATGGGACATTTAATCTACTTAATGGTCCAATATCCAAAATCTAATTCCATGGTAAGAGTCAGCATATTAAAAAAAACATGAATTCAAACAAAGTTGTTTTTTTGGACCTTAATATGGACTAATTTGAAAACAGAGCTCAAAACTAGAACGGAAACTAAAAATTCAGCAATTTTTCTATTTGTAAACATGCACAACTCTAGAACGGTTGTGTATAAGTTTTATAACATTTGGTTGAGACAAAAAATTCAGCAATTTTTATGTTTATAAAGGGACATAACTCAAGAATGGTAAAAGTGTCGCCACCAAACTTTGTACTTAATCTGTATTATGTAGTAATAAGCATTGTGTATAAGTTTCATAACATTTGGTTGAGGTAAACTAAAGTTAGAAAACAGAAACAAAAAATTTGTACTTGATCTTAGTTTTGTGGTAATGAATATTGTGTATAGGTTTCATAATGTTTGGTTGGGGCAAACTTAAGTTACAGAATGGAAACTAAAAATTTTGCAATCTTTCGATTTATAAAGGGGCATAACTCAATAATGGTTAAAGTGACACTACCCAAATTCAACTTGATCTGTGTTTTATCAGTGGAAGTCAAAATTGAACATTGCATTGTATAAAGCAATGATTGTAGTTGATTCAACTATAACCATGGACAAAGGAAGATAACTCCAATTTTAAAAATTACTTGATATTCAGAAGAAAATAAAAATTTTGCAATTTTTCCATTTACAAAGGGGCATAACTCTAGAACAGTTAAAGTGACGCCACCAAAATTCAAACTTGATCTGTGTTTTGTCGTAATAAGGATTGTGTGTAAGTTTCATAACATTTGGTTGAGGCAAACTTAAGTTAGAGAACGGAAACTAAAAAGTTTGCAATTTTTCCATTTATAAAGGGACATAACTCTAGAACGGTAAAAGTGACACCACCAAAAATTCAAACCTGATCCGTGTTTTGTCGTAATAAGCATTGTGTATAAGTTTCATAATATTTGGTTGAGGCAAACTTAAGTTAGAGAATGGAAACTAAAAATTTTGCAATTTTTCCATTTATAAAGGGGCATAACTCTAGAACGGTTAAAGTGATGCCACCAAAATTCAATTGATCTGTGTTTTGTGGTAATGAGCATTGTGTATAAGTTTTATAACATTTGGTTGAGGCAAACTTTAGTTAGAGAACGGAAACTAAAAATTTTGCAATTTTTCCATTTATAAAGGGGCATAACTCTAGAACGGTTAAAGTGACACCACCAAAATTAAATCTTGATCTGTGTTTTGTAGTGATAAGCATTGTGTGTAAGTTTCATAATATTTGGTTATGGCAAACTCAAGTTAGAGAACGGAAACCAATTTTGGGACGTACATACAGACGGACAAGGGTAAAACTTAATGCCCCCACCGCTACAGCAGGGGCATAAAAATTCAGGTTTGGATGAAATCAAACAAAGTCTAACATTTGGACCCTTTGGACCTCAATGTAGACCTATTTAAAAATGTCCAAATATCCAATATAGTAATACATGGTAAAAATCTCAAACAATTCAAGACTTTAAATTAATCCTCATTGAAATTGGTTAAAAGATTTGTATTTATTTTCAACTGAAGATTTCTTGCTGTTGTGCAATACTTTGCTGTTGCGCAAAACTTAGTAAATCTGTTTACAAACTAAATATAATAATTTACACACCCTGTTTGGTGTGTATATCCTGCCATATCAGTATTTGTTGTTTTTTTATATAGATCAGAAATAATTTATGTTAGAACCAGCTTAACCAGTATTAGAAAAGTCTTGTTTTTGGCCCCTATTTGGCCTCTAGTTTTTTAACGATTAAAGCCACAACCCACAAATTCGACCCCAACCTTCTGTGTGTGGTATGGAACCTTGTGGTACAATTTCATAGAGATCCATTGACTAATACTTAAGTATTTGTCAGGAAACCAGAAAAACCATGTTCCTCCCCTCCTCCCTTTTTGTCCCTATTTGGCCTCTAGTTTTGTAACGGTTTGAGCCATAACCCCCAAAGTCAAACCCAACCTTCCCTTTGTGGTATGGAACCTTGTGTTTTAATTTTATATAGATCCATAGACTAATACTTAAGTAAATGTCCATTAACCAGAAAAACCTTGTTTCCCCCCCCCCCCCCCCCCCCCCCTTTTTGCCCCTAATTCCTGAACAGTTTGGGCCATAACCCCCAAAGTCAATCCCAACTTTCCCTCTGTGGTATGGAACCTTATGGTACAATTTCATAGAGATCCATACACTTATACACAAGTTATTGTCCGGAAATTAGAAAAATGCTTTTTTTGGCCCCTTTTTGACCCCTAATTCCTAAGCAGTTGGGACCATAACCCCCAAAATCAATCCCAGCCTGCCTTTTGTGCTATTGAACCTTGTGCTTAAATTTCATAGAGATCCATTCACTTATACAAAAGTTATTGTCCTGAAAACCAAATGTCTTCCGATGTTGACGACGACATGACAGCAATATACGAACGCAAATTTTTTGCGGTCGTATGAAAATTGACAGACTTGAAATTCATCAGGATTATTTCATCTCTAAGTAACTGTTACTTTTTATTTATGCATTAAAATAAAACAAAATGTTAAAGAAACCCTTACTATGACTCATATGGAAGTCTGTCATGGAATGCAGCCAAAATACTGTAAATAACATATATAGTCCTTTGTGAGAAATAAAAAATTGAAATGACTTGTCTTTAATTTCAGATGCAGGCTTATTCAATACCCTTCATTGAATTCTATTAAAAAATTAAGTATACAACTATCATACCCGCTTATTGTTAGTGGCTCACTGCTCGATTATGATCTATACTCTGGTACACATCTTTATATCCTTGATTTTAAACTTCATCTTTGTTCAGTGATAGTAATATTGATTGTTTTATTAATCACAAAACTCAATTTAAAAACAAAAATTCTTCTGAATATAACTACAAAGAAAATATTTTCTTACCTGAAAAATTTGACCAAAGAGATTTTTGACTAGACAAGAATTGGCAAGTGGATATGATGTCATGACATTCATCCTGGGGCAAAAATTCTGGTGGCGGTATGGGTGGTGGTCCAACTAACTCTGTACAGCCATTACAAAAGTCTGTATTCATCACCTGTAATACAAAATATCAGACCATGTAGCTGCATCTTTATGTACAAGGAAAATCAACATTTCTGTTGTCCATTGATAATCTTGATTCATTGATGTGAATGGTAATGACTAAATCGTAAAATCTTTAAAATACATATTACACAAAACTTTTTTTTACCAATAAAACTGTTTCTGAAAGGCTGCAGACTTCAATTACACAATGTAATCAGTAAAAATTTGAATAATTTCAATCATCCAATAAAGAGTGTAAAGTGTTTAAAATACACTCCTTACAAAACCCAACCCTACAAACAAAACATATGCAAACTTACAATAACAAACTGTTTTCAATTATAAGAAAAAGCTTGTTATCAATTAATTAATTCCAGGCATGGTCAAATTAATCCATTTCTTGTAGAAAGCACTTTAATTTAACATTGACAGCTATCAGTGTTAGAAGATTGATGAAAATATAATTCTATCAATACAGTCTATTATAATGGTTAAAGGTTCAGATCTTTTTCAACCTAATCCCCATTTTACTTTCAAATCTCCCTTGTCCATACTTTTCAAAAATATTTGAAATACCATATCCCTTTTTTCAAATGTTATCTTAACTTGGTCAGTATTGGATAAAGAAGGCCATAATGAACTAACCCTACACATTGAGGAGGTAAATCCCATAATTCTAGAATGTACCACATCATATGATAAAATATCCAGAATGAGTTTGGAATACATAGGGTGTGTTAGAAGCTGTATAGGTAAATATAGAACAACAAATAGAACTTTTAGATAAATGCAATGTATTTGAAAAATGACAATACAGTACTATAAAATTGAAATACTGCTCAAGAAATGTCAGCAAATTGAAATGTTTTGGTATAAATCTATCACATTTTATTTTTCCCAAATGCCCATTTACCAGACTTTAGTTATAAAATAACTGGGAAAAATTTTCAGTTTAAAAAAATTAACATTCTAAGATGACAGATATGGTGTATAAAGCCTGGTTATATTTAGAACTTCAGCAATTGATTGATGGTTACTTCATATTCATCAATCTATATCATCAGAACTTTCAAATAACTAGAACAATATTAAATAAGGAGATGTGGTATGATTGCCAATGAGACAACTATCCAAAGGTTCCTCCAAATGAAGAGGATATAAGCAATTATAGGTTATCAAATGGCCTGGAATAATGAGCAAGTCCCATACCGTATAGACACCTATGAACATGATGAAAGGCCCAACATGACAAAATGTGAAATAATTCAAACGATAAAACCAACAATCCAAATTATGACAAAACAATAAATGAAAAACAAATATGACAGACAGCAACCACTGAATTACAAGCTCCTGACTTGGGACATCTCTACAAACCATATATGTTCCAAGTCACAAGTTTAACAAAGATTTTTAAATTTTATGCAGCTGAAATATTTAATGATACCACATACATTGTTTATTCTTAGCTTTTTTCCTCTCTAAGAGCATTATCAAAAGAATATAAAAGTGGTATCATCATTTTGAAACATAGTTGCCGATTAGAAGTAATAATAATCAAATTATACATGAATATTGCAAAATAATGCTCACTTTTCATTTATAACAACATTACCAGGAAGTGCTGCATCATAGATATTGATCCATATTATAAGTTACAAATTCCTTGTTGTAAGGTATATTGGTTAGAATATTGACAATAGCTCACATAAACTTTCCGTCAAGGAGACCTTCTTAGAACTGAAAGGAAATTTTTCCAGGAAAATTATTTTGTGAAAAAGGGATAGAACTACACTCAATAAAACTTTTACCTAGGTATATGCTGTCTGATATAACATTATTATGTTAATCACAAGTAATATTTTGAACATTTCAATCATCTTCTATACATTGTGATCATACCTATTTCATCCTGGTGTTTATCTAAACAAAATCTAGACATAAAGTACACAAACAGCTGTCAGCAGCTGGATGATACAAAACATAAATTCAAAAGAAAATTTAGTTTTTTAGCCTCTCTGATTCCTAGGCCTTAATGTGGTGAATCCAGAGGATTTGTAAACTTCCACCATATCTCTATTTTTTGGCCTATTTGAGATTTAAAAGTCAAACTTAACTTATAAAGAAAAACTTTCTTTTTCTCAAATAAACTTGCAACACTTTTCATCTATAAATCATGGACTTAATTAGTATTAGGACCTGTCACCATGTTCATGGCCTAATTTTATGGTACTCTTTTGGAAATCTTCAATGAAAGTGGAAATCAAGAGTGCACACACTGAAATGTCTAGCCTGTTTTACTTGTCATTGAATTTATGTTGAAAGTCTGTAATATGAAGGTTTTACTTAAAGTACCACAGAAACTTAACATTGACCAATGAACCACGAAAATGAGGTCAAGGTCATATGAACCCTGCCAGACACCTTACAATCATTCCATACACCAATTATAGTTGACTTATTGCTAATAGTATCTGATAAACAGACAAAATCACAAAATTAATAATTGACCAATGAACCATGAAAATGGGGTCAAGGTCAGATGAAAACCTGCCACAGACATGTACACCTCACTATTATTCCATACACTAAATATAATTGACCTATAGCTTATAATATCTGCGAAATAGACCAAACAACAAAATCTAAAAATTATCCAATGAAAATGAAGTGTAGGTCAGATGAAACATGGCAAACAGACATGTACACCTGACAATCATTCCATACACCAAATACACTTGACCTATTGCTAGAGTATCTGAGAAATAGACCAAACCACAAAAACTAAGCATTGTTCAATAAACCATGAAATTGAGGTCAAGGTCAGATGACATCTTTCAGTCGGACATGTACCCTTTACACTCATTCCATACACCAAATACACTTGACCTATTGCTTATAGTATCTGAGAAATAGACCAAACCACAAAAACTAAACATTGTTCAATGAACCATGAAATTGAGGTCAAGGTGAGATGAAATCTGTCAGTCGGACATGTACCCCTTACAATCATTCCATACACCAAATATAGTTGACCTATTGCTTACAGTATCTGAGATTAGGACTTGACTACGTAACTTTAACCTTGGTTACTGATCCATGGAATAAGGTTGAGGTCAAGTGAACCCTACCTGATGGACATATAGACATTGTAAGGAACCCATATATATATCAAATATAGTTATTCTATAACTCATAATATGTGAGTATTTCACTTGACAAAAAACTGTAATTTTTTTTTTCAAGCAGTCACTGAACCATGAAAATGGGGTCAAGGACAATGGACATATGACAGACAGAAACTTCATAACATAAGGTATCTACATACAAGGTATGAAGCATTCAGGTCTTCTACCTTCTGAAATTTAAGACTTTAACCAAATAGTTAACGCTGTCGCTGATTTTAATACCTATGTCTCACATACTGCGACTTTCTTCGTAGGCGAGACAAAAATCACTTGTTAATGGTCTGAACATTTATGCATATGGTCTTTAAGCCAAGATATTCAAGGCTTTTTTAAATGTCCTATGTACATTTGAAATCTGTATAAAGGTGACTTTTTGAGCTAGGGTACGCTTTTGGGTACAGTTATATGAAATTACACTACTACCAAAATATCAAAATTTATTTGCACCACATAACCCTAAATAAATGTGGATAGTGGACACATGTGGACACAGATGATGCCCCCACTTGCATATCATATAGTTATAAAGGGACATAACTGAAGAACAGTAAAAGTGACGCTACCCAAATTTGAACTTGATCTGAGTTTTGTGGTAATAAGCATTGTGTGTAAGTCTCATAACATTTGGTTGAGGCTAACTTAAGTAGAGAACAGAAACTAAAAATTCAGCAATTTTTCTATTTGTAAACACGCACAACTCTAGAACGGTTGTGTATAAGTTTTACAACATTTGGTTGAGACAAACTAAAGTTAGAGAACGGAAACAAAAAATTCAGCAATTTTTATGTTTATAAAGGGACATAACTCAAGAATGGTAAAAGTGACGCCACCAAATTTTGTACTTAATCTGTATTACCGATATGCAGTATTAAGCATTGTGTATAAGTTTCTATCATTTGGTTGAATCAAACTAAAGTTAGAGAACGGAAACAAAAAATTTGTACTTGATCTTAGTTTTGTGGTAATGAATATTGTGTATAGGTTTCATAATGTTTGGTTGGGGCAAACTTAAGTTACAGAATGGAAACTAAAAATTTTGCAATCTTTCGATTTATAAAGGGGCATAACTCAATTATGGTTAAAGTGACACTACCCAAATTCAACTTGATCTGTGTTTTATCAGTGAAAGGCAAAATTAAACATTGCATTGTATAAAGCATTGATTGTAGTTGATTTAACTATAATCATTGACAAAGGAAAATAACTCCAATTTTAAAAATTACTTGAATAATGACATTGATATTTTTGGGAATTAGCAATTTTTCCATTTGTAAAGGGGCATAACTCTAGAACAGTAAAAGTGACACCCCCAAAATTCAAACTTGATCTGTGTATTGTTGTAATAAGCATTGTGTATAAGTTTCATAACATTTGGATGAGGCAAACTTAAGTTAGAGAACGGAAATGAAAAATTTTGCAATTTTTCCATTATAAAGGGGCATATGTGCATAACTTTAGAACGGTTAAATTGACGCCACCAAAAGTCAAACTTGATCTGTGTTTTGTGGTAATAAACATTGGGTATAAGTTTGATAACATTTGGTCGAGGCAAACTTAAGTTAGAGAACGGAAACCAATTTTGGGACGTACAGACGTACGTACGTACTTACGTACAGACGGACAAGGGTAAGCCTTAATGCCCCCTCCACTTCGGCAGGGGCATGAAAACAAAATATTGGAAATTTTCAAACAAAAATCACTTTATAAGATTGAAAATTGAGAAAAGAATCTCTAGGCAAGATTCTGTACTGGTTAATGTATTGTAAATACTTATACATATAACTAGTGTGTTATTAAGTTTTCCAGTATATCTCACACAATA